TTTTCTGAGCTCAGTGCCATCGCTTCTCCAAGCCCTGTGAGTTGCCAGAACAGGGATTTCAGAAACACTAGCTAAAACATCTTGACAAGCTAGCCAGTTTTTAGAAGTGGAGTAGGTGGGCTCAGCTCCAGAGCCTGCACGCTGTCGAGGGAGATGAAGCAGAGGGAACAGAGCGGATTAACGCCGGTGCCAGGGATCCGCACATCCCGGCCCTGCTCTCATCCCTGCCACAGCAGCGCTGTGTCCTGAGCCAGCCATCTCTGGCTGAGCCCCACAGTCTACCTGTTCCTTTCAAACAATGTGTGTTTTCCTCCAGTTCTCAGGGTTTAAGCTCAGCTTTATGACCTGCACCTATTCAGGAGCGTTTGGCAGATGCTGAGCAGGAATGGACCTGAGCAACGCAGCCTTTGAGGAAGTTGTTCTCAGTTCAGTCAGATTTCAGTATTTTCTGTTTTTATTATGCTTTCCATGAACTGACTGAAAAAATTTAGCCTCTTTTCATCTCTCTTCCACACGTTCTGTGGCTGGCATTAACATCTCCCAAACAGGGAACCTGAAACTTCCTTCTGGTGATGTTATGATTCCAGTTGCATCTCACTTACGCAACACAAATGCCTAAAAATACAAATTCTCAAATCTTTCTTGCTCTGGCAAACTCAAGAACAACAGCAGTGAACAATTAGCATTTTCAGAATGCAGAATTTCAAATACTTACAGTCACCCTAATTTTTAACTCTCTCCTTGTCAAAACAATAACATGCATTTCAACATGCATTTTAAATTAATTATTTTGTTTTCAATACGTTTTTACTTCCTGAATCTGTGCAAAAGGAATTCAGCATTATCTGATACACTGTTGTATTTTTGACCCAGGCCCTAACAGAGCTTGAAGATTCTTACAAACAGACGAAATCAATTTCTTAGCTTTGAAATTTCTGGCATTTTGTGGTTCTTTCTGAATGTGAAAATGAACAACTTGATATACAGCTCATGTCCCTTCATGGCTTTGAACTATCCATAACTCTCTTTTGGGTTTTAGTAAACACATTCCTTAAAGTCTGTGGCATGTTACTTCTCCAGTTTTATCTGTATTGCCCTGGGTCTTGTTCCTGTACTCTCCTCTCTCTAAGATTCAGAAATATTTCCCTATATTTCATTTCCTTTTGCACCTTGATCTATTGAGAGAAAGCTGCCAATGGGGTGTTAGGAACAGGATATTTTTTTAAAGTGTATATGTGAACTTAAACACTCTGCAAAAAAAGCATTTTTTGTTGTTCCATGCCTAGATATTAAACATAACTATATTTAGATATTAAACATTACTGTATTTGACAACTGCAAAGAGCATCGGTGGCAGAAGCTATTACACTCTAAGACCAGAGCCACAAATCTGCCTGCTAAAAGGACTTCCTTACTCCAGTTATCCCCCTCATCTGAGATGAGAAAACTCCTCAAGGAAGTTCACCTGCTTCTCAAGTGCTGAGCACGTGGAGAATCCCACGAGGCAGGATGAAGCAGAGCTGGATTTCCAGCTGGCAGGAACGCTCTCTGTGCCCTGCATGGGCCTAGTGATGTTTAACAAGCAATTCTTGACAAAGGATTTTCCTTCCCAGGGCCTCAGCAGGTTATGTAAGAGGATACTTGGCACCTTCTGAAAGAGAAGGTTTTCCTTTATCTGAAACAGACTTTCCTGTTTTATATCTGACACCTTCTTCTTTCATGATTTTCCATTTTATCTTGTGACAAAGCCATGTGTTTTAGCTTGATTCCATTTGAGTCTGAAGATGGCAACCAAGGAAATATCAACCACTTATTTTTCCCCTTCAAACATACCATCAGTTGATGAACAAATGAATCCAAAAACCCCCACCCTAAGCCCTGATTACTCTTTAGATGCTACTAAAAAAACATGCCAAGAAGAGAAACCCAGGCTAAAAATAAAAATAATAAGAAGAAGAAGAAGAAGAAGAAGAAGAAGAAGAAGAAAAAGAAGAAGAAGAAGAAAAAGAAGAAGAAGAAGAAGAAGAAGAAGTATATTTTCCTCTTGATAAGCCAGAAACCAGTTGTAATCTTACTGGTAGATATTAAAAAAACCAACAACAACAAAAAAACACCAAAAAACAAAAAACTAAAACTTATCTAGTTCACTTCATGCTCATGCTAAAGTTGATCCACTTAATTATTTCTACCATTATTATACAGCCCACTGCTGCTTTTTATCTGCTTGAAAAAAGTGTCAGTGTTACAGGAGAGAGATTTTTATGCCAGGTCAGAGGACCTGGGATTAGAAGAACAGTCATTTTGATATTGGAGATTCATCTTTGGCACCAGACTGCTTTTAGCACCTAAAAAAATGTTTATGCTGACCTGTGTCCGTGTTAAGAAATAATTTCAAACTCTGGGATGGTAGCAGATGTTGTAGTCCAAAGAATGAAAACTGCTGGTTAAGGATAAAAAAATCTTCCATTGTTATTAAAAAACAGAAGAAAGCACATGCCATAATAGGTCAGTTTAATGGCATTGTTTGCAGTAAAGCTGACATTTCAGGCATAATCTGCAGTGCCCATTTGAAGTAGGACATTTTGCTGGGCAGAGAAGGATTTGATACATTCTTTTATATTGCTGTGTCAAATTGGATTAGAACATAATAAAATGGAGAATGTAAAATAAAGGCCTTTGGGCTGGCTGGTTAGGCAGTGTAATAAGATGCACAAGGAATTAAAATGAATTGTACTCTTCAGAAGAATGACAAACTTGTCATGTGTAGTTTGTGTGGAGCTTCCCTTCTTGTCATTCATTTCCTAGGTTTCCCCTTCCTGTGTGCACTTTTTGTTGACCTACATAAAGTGAATTCCCTTCAGTGACTTTGCCCAGCATTTTTCTGTTCCCTAATTATTATTTGAAACAAGACGACGCTCAAACATGAATTATTGAAAACCTGTTACAGCTGACACAGTTTTGATTTCCAACCTTAAACTGCCCAAAGAAGCTCAAAACTTTGCCAACATTTCTTTCTGGGTTTCACTAATGCTCACAGAGTAGCCCTGGATGAGGATCCAGCTTCTGCTGTCAGGCTAAGAGATATCTCAGCTGCACAGACAAGAGAACAGGCTGAAACTTGGTTTCTTTAATGATGCATGGAGTATTTCTCATAACCTCACTGAATGAATTCTAACCTTTGAAGTTTCGGAAATGTGAATTGGTAAGCCACGCTTTCATTTATCTGATACTCTTATCTCAGAAGTCACGTTACCCAAAATGGGATGTGTCTCCTCTGCACCATGAGTCACTTGCTGTGAAAAGGAGTGCTCTGCTAGCTGGAGAGCCAGTGACAAGGCTGGGTGGCAGGTTGTGTGCTCTGTTTGGATAAACAGGGTTGCACTTCATGGGAGAACTGCTACCAGGAGGAATTAATCAATGACTCAAGTCCTGAATTCCATTTCACATATTACAGAAAATCTGAATACAAATGATACGCCGTATCACTTCTGAAATTTGGAAGAAATGATTCAAAAGAAAATACCAGAGCCAATCTTTTGCCTAAGTTAAAGCAGGGAAAAAGGACCCCTTCATACCAAAGCAGCCCCAGTGTGCATGCACATTCAGCTTCCAGCTGAGTGTAAAGAATGAAGTTGATCTTTGGACACTTAATGCTGTATGAAGGCAGCCTTTCACTTGGAATGACTGTCAGCTGCTCTGTCACATCCTTACTTTTCCCTTGCAGCTGAAAAGCAGCAACTTCTGCCACAAAAGCCAGGTTTGTCCTCCCTGACACCAAGTGTCCGTGCCCCTGCCTGTACCCTGAGTGAGGAACTGCTTGTGCTGCTCCATCCTCGTGTGGGACAGGATTGCACAGAGAATTCCCCTTAAAGCTAGGAAAATATCCATTTTCATAAAGAATTTTCCAAGGGAAAAAAAAAAATTAAATTTAATCAATTTGGTGTGTAATATGAGCATGTTACCAGACCACAGAGGTATAAGGTGAGGGTCTGAATTCAGGCAAGTTATTTGTCTCAATACATCCTTTACCTTTCAATGACCTCTCATTCTCAGCTAAGCAGATGCTTCAGCACTTTCCTGAACTGAGGTCTAGCAAACTTACCCTTTGATCTTACTGCTAATGATGTCTGGTTGATTTGACTCTAAAATGTGCACTCCACTGGAGTGTGGCTTGACATAGCAAATGAAATATTTACTGACACTTGGCACCAGTGCCTCCACCCCTGTGGATTTCTGTAATGGATCATTCTCACTGAAGGTCTGTCCTCCTGAGGTGGGATTCATCCTAATGGCATTACAAGCTCCTGCTTTGAGTAGAAAGCTCCTTCTTTTTTGGAAGCCATTTCCATGATTTTATACTTAATCACTGTTTGGATTCCTGCACAGAACTTGCTAACAGATAACTGAAATACAGAGTGCTAAAATACATTCCTCATTTCCCTGGGAACACAGCAAAGACAAACAAAGAGTTAAAGCAATTCAGTGGGTTTCAGTCTCTCATGGAGCAGCATTGTCTGAACTCTCTTTGGCTGGATTATAGCTGTGGGCTTTTCTGACTTTATGAGAATAGTCTTTTGAAGAACTGAAGATTGCTACATAAGAAATGTTGAATCTGCAGTTCTGGCTGATTAGTGTGCTGTAACTTACATAAAAAATCATGCAAAACAGGAAGACAGGCAAAATAAGAAAAGCAATATTTCCTTAAGTAAATTTCAGATTAAGTAAGATTAAAACATTCTCTGGCGTTTCTGCCCTATCAGCAGGGCAATGACTAAACCCACTGTCTCCACATAAAACATTCTTTAATATAACCAAAGAACAAGAAATGAGGACTGAAAATGTACTGTCAATTTCCCTGGATTAAGGTCAAAGCTTGAGAAAGAGAGAGGATAGAGTATTTTCCTTCACAAATTCAACAGACAATTTCAGTTATAATCAGATTAGGGAAATAAAGTCAGAAACAAATAAAATTCAAAAAGAAAAAAAAATATAATACTTACATTGGTGACATATTCAATATCCTTCCAAATATTACATTCCCTGGGAAAATCTGCCAAATCTAAAAAATTATCCACTACCACTTGGCCAATCAAGTCGTGCCTGGAGAATCTGTCAAAGTCATACACAGAGAAATGGAGTTTCCTCGCGTTGAGATCATTGTACGGGACAGTAAATAAAAAAACTTCATCAAACACTGGATTTAGGGTCTTTCTGTGCACTTTAGTCTGGTGTTTTGTTTTCCTGTCGGGGAGCAGATAGATCTTCACGTAGGGATCTGAAGTTCCAGAGAAGTCCTTCGCCGGCAGGTTGACGGCCTTGTGAATCTTCACTATCAGCTGCTCTAAATCACAGTCATACTTGAGGATGAAGTTGAGTTTTCCACAGGCCTTGCTGTTGCTCCTGCGCCCGTCGTCCGTGTCCAGCGATCGCTGCTTGTACAGCTCCGGCTTGATGCGGCCGATGCCCGTCAGCTGCTCCTGCTTCTGAACCTGCTGGATGTTGAAGTCAGGGTTGGACAGGTTGAGCTGTCTCCGGAGTGAATTGTGCCTTAAAGCGAAAAGCAAAGAGTTGAAACAGGCTGTGCACGCACACCCGAGATCCTGCAGGCACCTGGCGCGTTTTATGTTTAACATAAACCGTGAGACGCCACGTTCTGAGAGCCCACCTTCAGCACCACACCGCTAATGCCACGGCATTTTCTGCTCCCACGTCCCAAGCTGGGCTGAAATGGTTTGCTGACCACCCCAACAATCGTTTTCCTTTTTTCTCTCCCACCTGATGCAATAAACTCTTTTGGCACTTTGGCTGAAAAGCTCCTCTACTTTCAGTAGCTGAGGATAAGAAGCTGCTTTTAGCTTCGGTCCAGTGAAATTTAATAATTCACACTTACTGTGACTGAAATTCCTCCCTCCTGGATGGTAACAAAAATCAAATTTGCAATTCCTGTTGAGGTGGGGCGACGTGAAAGTCGGATTAGGCAAAACCCCAATCTTCTATGACTTCCATTTGATTGTCCTATTTCTATGCAGCCATCACTCAGTGCATTGGAGCACCAGGAGCTCAGGTTGAACACAGAAAAATCACGTGGAAAATGCCTGCACAGGATTAATCCAAAGCTATTTATATTGAATGTAATCAGCAATAGCTCCTCTGCTATAATTGTTCATTCATTCCTGGTAAATATCTGTTTACCCATGCTTAAAGCAGGAACAGCCTCTTATGTGCTATCCTGATTTTTTTTTTTTCTCCTGTTGTATAATAAATACATAATCTTATGGCTCTCCATTAGTCATTTCCAGGATAAAATATTATCGTGTCACCAAAGAGAAAAAATAAAATTCAACCCTTAAGCTCCTCATGGCAGTGAGAGGTGCAGAATATCCTGTGGAGGAATAAAAAGAAGAGACTTGCAAAGAGCCACTGGGCTAGTGCTGTACCTTCTCCCACTGAAGTGCCTCTGCTTTGACTCAGATATTTCCTGGCTCTTCACATGCTGATCCTTATTCTTGCTGTATAAAAAATAATCCTTTTATCACCTGCCCCTGCACAAACTCTCAGCCTCCCCCTCTCCTCTTCCCTCCTGGTTCTCCAGCTCCCCTGGAAACTTCATTGACTCCTGTTCAGCCACTCTTCACCCCACAGTCATGACTGTGGCTAAAATCTACGATTTTTTAATCCTGTTTCTAGCTCTTGCAAGAGTTGCATTAGCTTGCCCTACTTTTCTTCTTTGGAAAAATCTTTGAGGAGATATTACTGAGTGTTCAGCACCACTGCTAAGTGCAAATGAATATGCTTTACAAGCTAAATCTAGGCTGTCCTGGTGCTTTTAAGGGACACAGGGCTCTGTGTTATCCAGCTCCTGAGGGAAAAGCACCGATGAGACAGTAGTTGTGATGCCTCAGGATTTTAGCTTTTATATTTTCCATGTATTTGTAGTCCTGCAATTCCTTAGTGTATGCCTCTAAACTCCATATAGAGTGTTAGCTGCTGTTCTCCCAGTCTGGTCAGACAGAACAATTCCCCTCCAGGCCTGGGAATCCAGGACACCTCACTATCTCAGGCCCTGGGAAATGCCAACAAAAGTGATTTGAAGGGAGAAAATTTGGGGTAAATGATTTTATTACCTGAAGCTGTAATTGGAAGATTAACCCTCAATATACAAATGGACCAAACTTACAAAAGTGTGAAAACCTGTGACCCATGGTCTATTTTTTTGGGTGTAGCCCCTGGGGGGAGGGCTTTGTCTGCCCAAAATGTACCTGAAGGCCCTTCAATAAATAGACATGGTTTTTATTCCCTTAATTTTGCCTGGCCTCTGTTTTTAGGCAGTCCCAACAAGGCATCAGTTGGGAGAAGAATGGAATAGGATTGTGATGCTGTCGTTTCGACCTACAAGGTTTCTGCACCTCAGTGAATAACTTTAGTATATTTAACATTGTTTTTAAAAGGAACATGGCTAGAAGATGATATATATATCTCTCAGATCAGCGTGCCGTGCTTTTTGGCCCATATTCATGAGTAACGGAGAGAAATGGGAGTTACTGACCGGTCAGACGAGGTGGGTTCGGTGATCTGGCGCTGCATCCGCACATTGGGCACGCAGTTCTCCTTGGTCCCTGCCTGGGTGTCCAGCGGGAGGTCAGGGGAGGTGTGGCTGATCTTCATGGAGGCCTCAGGGAAGGCGGCAGGCTGCCCCAGGTAATCCTCGCTGTAGTCGCGGTCATTGGCGTCCGCGTCCGCGTAGTGCAGCGGCTCCTGCTTGCTGTCCTTGTTCCCGAAGGGCAAGCCCCGCTCCCGCCACGGGATCCAGCACAGCTTCCAGGACACGAACAGGGACACGCCAAACAGGGCCAAGCCACAGGCAGTGACAACCAGGGACAGCAAGCTGATGGAGATATCTGCAAAGGAGAGAAGCGCGTCCGTGTCACGCCTCGGCGCTCGCTGGAGCTCGGCATCTCCGGAGCGCGAGGCAAACGCCTCTGGATTCCAAATTAAATTCTGCTCCCTGCAACAGCCATAAAATACAAACTTATTAAAAGTTCAAGTCTCTTTCCCCACCAAGGGAAAAGAAAAAATTTGGAATTCAGCATAAGACTTGGGCCTAGCGTATAATTTCCCTCCAAAAGCGGGGTGGGATGAAAGGTGAAAATGTGAAAAGGATTCTTCTAGATGTGAAAAGAGCTCTTCTAAATGTGAAAAGCCTTGTTCACTTGCTCACTCAACTTCCTATTGATGACAGAGCCATGCCTGCAGCACATTTTGTCTTTTTTTTTGCTTTTTCATTTCATGTAATGCAGTTTCCTCCACCTGTTTTACCAGTTCTTACTAGCTTCTCTTCCAGAGCCTGTATTAGGCTTAAACACCATGAAAATATGCACACAAGCACCTCTGTGACATGATTTTTTTAGGTATTTCACTGATGTATCTTGGTTTATTATTTTAATTCCATTCCATCTAACTTTAGACTCATTTCTATCTTTGTAAATTATTTTTGACTCTCAATGCATGGCTTGCTCTTCGTAATTTAATTAGGACACAAATATCTCTTCAAAACTGAGTTTTTCTGGGTTTTTTTTAGCTCCAAAGTCTCTTCCTTTTCTTTTTCCAAATTTCTGGTATAAAAAGGAACATGGAGATGAGTTTTCTGTTGTTTTTCCCCACATTTCCAGCATTATCCTACTCCATCAACACAAATAAGTTACAACTGGGAGTGGGTTTTGCTCTGATTTGCTTTAAATTGCACGTTAGGAAAATGACTCAGTGGAACAGCTGTTTTTGTGGTTACAGTGTTTTTGAAATGAATCTCTCTGTGGATTACACAATACATCATGCCTTAAACACAATTAGTGAGGATTCTGTTTTACTGCCTTAAATTATAAACACAAGCTGATCAAAGCAATTTTTCACACTGTGTGTAGGTTCAGAGTGTCAGGCTGCATCTCTCTAAGCAAACAGCTAGCCTGAATTCTCAAAGGATGGCAGAAGGTTGAGATATACTGCTTCTACAAAGACAATAATTTAAGAATGACAATTCAGATGAAACAGCCCCAGTCCATCCCAAAATAAAAAAAAACAAAAACATTTTTCTTAAAAGAGTGGTAAAGTCAATACCTTCTGCCCCTGCTGTGAGTCTCATTCTCACCAGGCAGACAGATTAAATTTCCACAGTGGGGGGAGTGACACTGCAGTCCATTTCACACAGGAGCTGTCCACTTTATTTTGCATGCTGCAAACCAATTTCAAACAATTTTAGCCAGCATGGCCCTTTCTGTCCTTCTCAGAGTCATATGAAGACAAAGCTCATTAACAGTGGGGACAGCACAGCAGCTGCTTGGAATTACAGCAAAGAGTTTTTCAGAGTTGAAATTAATTAAAGAAATTCCTCCCATGCATAAAAGGGAATTTGGGAGAGAGCAGAATGGTAGCTCTTGATAATTTTTGAATATTTATTGGTAAACAAATCTGGCAGTGGAGGCAGAGCACAACCTCTTTTTGATTAAAAAGCTGAGGATCAAGGATGCAGAAGTGAAAGAAGGCCTTTAGAATAAAGCAATTTGTCTTGCATTCCCTGGAGAAGAAGCAAGAAATACATCAGAGGTCTGCAAAAAGGCCATTTCTTTCAAAAAACTGATTCAAGTAAATGGCCTAACACTGAAAGAAATGAGAAATCTGGAGTTATCAGAAGCAGCCAGAAGATTACAAGGTGAGAACAGAAGACTGCCCAATGATAAGGGCTTGTGAATATGAAGGTGAGGAACAATTTGAAAAGCAGACCTGCAGTCCCCTAGCCTACCTTGAAGATGAGAGGAAGTTTTCTAGAGAACAGACACCGTGAAAAAAAAACACATGAGGGCAACATGAACTGTTTTTCAGCTGGAGAGTTTGGGGGGCTTTAATGACATATGTAACATCATTATCTCACAGCTTGCTGCAGAGAAGTTGGGCAGTAAACAGTGCAGGTCACAGCATGAGAGGGGAGTGTTTATCCATCAGCTCGGTTTCATTTCTTCCTGACTCCTTTGTGTCAGGGAGAAGGTTTTGTATGAAATTTTTGTTTCTGGGGGTGGAAAAGGAGCCATCATAAGTATCTGTCTTGCTTCTGTGAAAGACAGTAGACTAAAGGGTAGTGCTCTAAGCTTTTCCCTTCCATCAGACAGTAATTTTCACATCCTGCATGCCTGGCTGGCAATTTTCAACGACGGTGCAGATCCATTGTGAATAGCTGAGGTGAGCACAGTCCCACGTGAAGAGATTTCTGGCTGCTTTTCCATTAGCCACTTGTACTGTTACACACTGTATTTTCTGTACAATTTTTACTCCATCTTTCCAGATGTCTCAGTTTTTCTAAGCCTGTTTATCTGTATTCTCCTGTGGTAGCAGTACTCATCTGATGCCAGTGATTTCCTCTGCTTTGTAATGAGAGCAGGGTAAGTCTTTACTTTTTTGTCCTCACAGAAATGAGATCTGCAGCACAGAAAGTGTTGCTCAGAAATCCAGCTGCTTCTAAATTCCCTCTGTGAATGCCATGACACCAGCCAAGCTATCTTGCTATGAACCCAAGTCAAAATTTCCCAATTCTACCTTTGTCACCATGGCTGCACTGAGAGCTGAGCTCCCAAATCCCAGCATGTCAGAATATTTGGATTATAGCACATTGATTTTGGCATGCTGATGCTGGACAATGTGTTTCCCACTAGCAAAGGAGGCCTTTGGACAGAAAACAAGAGGAAAGACATTCAGGGTGGCCCCAGATTAAACATCCTTGAGGCTTGGTAGCTGCCTCTAATTCTTTGTCTACTGAGACCATGATAGCATTGTCAGAGGACTCAGGAGGCACTGCCATTCCTTCCATGCAGCTCCAACAGACAGGAATTCAGCTCTGGTTTCCAGGAAGAACAGAGGCTTTCTGAACATCTTGCTTATGAAATTGTCTTACAGATATTCTGATGAAATAATCAGTTTTCCACCCAATTTCCATGTCTCAATCCCTTTCACTATACTATGCTTATCAGCATAATTTTTTCTGGTTTTTTATTTTATTTTTTGTTTGTTTTTTGTTGGTTTTCTGGTGTTTTTTTTTTTATTTGTTGGTTTTGTGGTTGGTTTTTTTTTTGGTAGCAATCACAAGGTTAAAAATGATATGGAAATAGCAAGTGAAATGGAGTTTTCTACCTGGTTTTGTTACCATAGACTGGAGAGATGAGCATGGCCCTTCTGTCTGTGACAGGTCTTATTACAATCAGTGAGATAAAAAAACCCCTCAGTCCTTTTATCAAAAAGACTCAGTTTGGTCATTGCTGAATTTGGAATCTTTTTACATTTTTTTACTTCCATTTTAAAGTAGATCTGTTACACAGAAAAAAAAAATCCCACTTTTTATGTCAAGAGACTGTATGATAGGAATATAAATTATCTTGTCTTTGGATTCTCCTATCAAAAAAGAGAATCACAGAACCTTTGGGGAAGGACTCTTCAGATAATTTAGCTCAACACTTTGCCCAAGCAATGTCACCTCACACAGAACATACCCAGATGAAATTTCTCTAAGGATGGAAACCTCCCCAACCTCTGTGGGCAACCTATTGCAATGTTTGAGAACCACCAAGCAGGTTAAGAGCATAATGTTATTTTGGTAGGGATAAAATACCAAGTGGGTAGCATTTTTTAGATCACAATAACCAAAATCCCAGTAACGCTGTAAGATGTAACTGCACTTTGTAGATTAGCTAGTAAAAAAGAAAAGAAAATTATGCTACTATTTGCATTTCAAATTATTTTAGTATGGATCCACTAAACAAAAACTTTTATACTGACTTTGAATAAAATCATAGATTGTTTTAGAAGAATTTGAATTGTCTTGTACTTTTATATACATGTTGCATGAGAGCTGTTCAGTATGGGGGGCTGTAAGACCACAGACAAATGTATAATGATTCCATTCAAATACTGACAGTACCACATTGCAGGTAATTTGTGTTTTCTGGAATAAATGGTTGTGCTTTATCCTCTGAAACCTTGATGCTGAAAAGTCTCACCAAAAAATCAGACAGAAAAAATAACAGAAATGAGGTGGCTTTGTTTTTTCACATCTGAAACAAGAAGTACCTTTTTTTTTTCCTTCTTGTACTTACAAAGTTATCATTTGGATTGTTAAATTTTATACAAAATAAAATATCTAAATTATCCAACAATGGTCAATAGCTAACACAGATCAATTTATGTGTCTAGACATGCAATTAAAGTTATGGAGTCAAAAAACACAAATTATACTCTTTGGATTCATCTGACTCCAAAAGATTCAAGTAAGACCCAACATATGATAAAAAAGAAATAACTGAACTGGGAATTTCTCATCATCCAGGCACAGAGAAGGAACTGCTGACCAAAAATGTAATTATTTAGACAATCAAGCTGATGTTTGCCTGGATGTGCCTGGTGTTCTACCAATGAACTCCCCTTCTGACAAACTGGCTGTCATTTGGTTTAACTTGAGGCTTAATGAGTTTTACTAGAAATCCTAAGTGGGAGAGTTCTTTCACACATTTTTATCTTGTAAAACAAGCTTTCTTCTCTGTGCTGATTTACTCTCCTGTTCTTATTAAAATGACTATTCCAATATTCCAGCATTACTGTAATACACAGTTGAGATGTTGGGTGAAGTTTGGCTAACAAGTGGCGAAACAAATCTGAGCAATTCAACATCTTGCAATACAGATATTTTTAGTCCATGACAAACAATCTTTCCCTATTTATACCAAACAAATTTCAAATAAAAAAATAAAGTTAATTTTTTTTCTGAATAATCTTATTACTAGACTACAGGATACATTGGGACAGACCAATCTTTGTGAATATGGTTCTGTCTAAATTCAGCTGAAATTTCAAGCTGTCATTTCCT